GTAGCTCCCCACTGCTTGGGTTTTACCTTCTGTTGAGACTTGGTTTCTCACTCTTCGTGGAGTAAGGACATCAGTTCATTTCTCAAAGCATCATGCAGACATGGAGAAAGCCCAGGCCCATGTGCGTGTCTCCATCTACAGCCTTTGCCTTTCAGCTGTCTCCAGAAGCAGGGGGAGCTCTCCCCACAGCCTGTCTGCTTTAGGAAGTGGTTCACTCGTCACTAGTCCAACTGCCTGTGTCTGAACAGAATATAACTGTATCTCTGCAATTACATTTGTATGGGTGGCATTTTTGAGTGCAGGGTTCCTTTTTTGTTTGCTAAAATCTTAGATTTATTTTTCTTGGTAGACACTCATGTAGCAGGAATACTTGGTATTCTTCTGTGGAAGAAGACTAAGCAGCTGAAACTAGTCACCTGCTTTGCTTCTATCAGTCTTGGAGAAATGATGGAAATGGTGCTTCTGAGACACTAGAACAGTGGGAGGTATCCTGATATTTGGTATTTTTGAATGCATAAGAAAATGCTACAATTTTACAAAATATAACGACCACACTTCTGCTGGTGAATGGCAGTATTTTGTATCTGAATAAGGCTCTTTGTTATCTTTGAAGTAATTTGTATCTGTTGTCTCGTTATCGGTGATGTCAGTAAGAACTATTATTAACCCATTGCCTTGTTTCATCCTTATAGAGCATTTTACTGTGCCCAGGCAACTTTAAAAATAACTGCTTTGCTCTTGTATTCATGTGTGTGTGTGTTTTGTGTGTGTGTGTGTGTGTGCATTTAATTTGGAGGAAACATATTGACCAAGTAGTTGCAGAGATAATACAGAGGGATCCTGTGTATGTACAGATGGTCCTCACTCTGGGGTGATTTTGTCCCTTCGCAGCTCCCAAGGATGTTTGGAAATGCCTGGAGGCCTTTTGGTTTTCATAGTTGGATGTGCTACTGGCATCCAGTTTGGAGAATAGGGATGCTGCTCTACATGCCAAAGAAGAACATATTGCCTCACACACACAAGAATTAACCAGCCTAAAGTGTAAATAGTGCTGCAGTTGAGAAACTCTGCTATAGACGCTTGACCAGTTTCCCTAGTGTTATCATGTTAAATTACCATGACACATATATCAAAAGTAAGAAATTAACCTTGCTTCATTATCATTAAGCTATGGAATTTTTCAGAGTTCCATTTGTTAAAACTAATACCCTTTGGTCCCAAGTTTACTCCTCTTTAGTCTGATCTCATCTGTGACAGTTTCTCCATCTTCCTTTGATTTTCATGACCTTGGTCTGCCTTTGTGTTTTTGAGCTTGATACTGTTGAAGAGAGTTGTAAGTGTTTCTCACCTGGCTGTGATACTGACTCCATCCACATAGCACAGGCAGCGTGTATAAATGTGGTGTGCTTTGGGGTTTCATCCGTCACTGCTAGTTTCATGGCATTTAGAGGGTAGGGATGACTGGTAATCGTAGTGGTTGCAAGCTCAAGACAGTCACGTGTAACAAGGCATTTCCTCAGCAAAATGGCAACCACAATGCCCTCCCTGCCACCCAGAGCTCTCAAGTCCTTTCGAGTAACTCATGTAGACTGAAATGCCCTGCTTCAAGTCTATCAAAAGGCAGGTAGTCAACTTCAAAGAAAAGCTTGATTTTTTATAGTTTCAGTCCAGGAGTTTTTGTATCTCTAACAGTAAGTGTCTCTACTGAAAATCTTTGCTTTAATGTTTTTAGCAACAATTTAAGTCTTTTGGGAAATCTTTATTTATAACTAGACGAAATGTTTTCATTTTATTTGCTGAGGTATTACAGTAAAGCATGAGTTGCAGCCCAATGGAAACACTGAAAAAAGAACTAGAATTCATAGTAAGAGATAGCGTAGTAGTTCCGTGGCGATGGGGCCAGGAAAGCATTTGGGGCCCCAGCTGTGTTGAGGGAGGTGTGCACATCCCTCCTGCTGCTTTTCTTAAAGCCCTTCTCCCCCCCTGCCAGTGTGCACATTTATTTACTTGTATCTTCTGTCTCCGACCCCTTAGAAAGCAAGTTCTCTGGGAGGAGGGACTGCTTAGTTTGTAGCGTATTCTCTGACTCTCTAAAGGGAAATGCCATAAAATCCATGCTTGAACAGTACTTAAAGAAGCTTGAGCTGGAAAGAACAACACAGTCAAAGTGGCCAATGACCTCTTACCTGGTTTCTGGCCTCTAGTATGCTAGCAATACGGCTTTGTACTTGTCTAATCTGTGCATATGTCATGTGCTGCACATAATACTCCATCTTTTCCCTTAGACAGTGTGTGTTGAGATATGTCATTCTGTAACACACATGGAGCTGTAGTTCAGTAGTTTGCAAGAGCAGGTCATTGTGTCCTTCACGGGATGTTTGGGAGCACCTGCAGACACTGCTGATTGTCACTGCTGGAGGTGGTCCTAATGCATGTGGCCGAGAGAGGCCAGGTTCGATGCTCCAAGTCCCCAGTGTACAGAGCATCCACCCACCGGGAATTATCCGGCCCAGTAGTCCAGGAGCCCATTGGCCTATTTGTTCCCTTTAATCTGTGGACTAGTATTCCCTTGACAGCACGTACCACATCTACTTCACGCAGTCCACTACTGGTGGGTGTTCAGGCTGCTCCAACTCGCTGCTCTGACGGAGTGCTGCCCGCAGCCTCACCGATGTGTGTGTGTGTGTGTGTGTGTGTGTGTGTGTGTGTGTG